GGGCTTTAAAGACTTATTTTTAGGAGAAAATGAATCACCAAACACCACGATGGCCAAAATGGAATTGAGAAATAATAACAACAACAATAATTCATCACGTAGTTCATTGAATTACTGCTTTTGCAGAGGAAAAAAATACAATTGCCAAGAAGCAAAACAGCTTCCCAGTCCTGATTCATCGCGAAAAAATTAAATTGGCTGGAGCACGAGGGTTGGAGACAGGAGAGATGGCAGGAAAGATCCAAAAGCCATTCGTGGTCCCTAACCATAAGTGCAAGCACTTTGTAACCTCTCATTTTCATTTCCTTTTACACGTGGTCCCACATGGTTTCCTTATGTGTTGAAGCAAAATCAGCGCAGAGTGGGGGGAAAGAGATTTCTCAGAGCATTAAGTCACATCTTGAGGTTTTCAAGCAAAACCTCCAAGATAAACTGAAGGTGCTAATTCGTTTCAGGGCTGTGAGTCACGCCGCTCACCAGCACCCTGGCTGCGTTGCAGGGAGTGAAATGGTACCTGCTGTACTTACAGCTTGTGCCCTGGCTTGGAGCACGGGGTAAGGTTCTCCCTTTTCTACTCCTGTGGATGGCTGTTCTGCTCCACTTCTCCTGGAACAGGGCTGCTTTTCTGCCCTGGGACAGGTGAAGCTCCCAGGTGCCAGCATCCGGGCAGCACATACCTGGGATCACAGGTGGAGAAAAAGAGCTGACCTTGTGTCTAAATGTTTTTGCTGGCATCTGAGCGAGCTTCACATCCCACCCCCTGGGCCCCTCCTCATCACTCGTCACCCAAGAAGAGTCAGAGGGGGGCTACCGCCTGCCAGTTTGTGGGGTTGCTGCTGCTTTCCCCTGGGTTGCTGGATGGTGAGCACCAGTGAATTAAATGTAAAGGTAGTTTCGATGCCTTTAAATCAGCCCAGGTGGGTTTTATGGTGTTCTGCTGTTCCTTGGGACAGCTGGGACCAGCATCAGTGGGATGCACTGAGGTGGTGTTGCTGGGTCCCCGTATGCATGTAGGGCTGTGGAGGCTGAAGGAAACCCAGGCAGTGTCACCCTGCCAGAGTGGTTTGTCAGAACCTGGGGCTCCATCCTGACCCTGCCCTGCCCTGCCATACTTCTGCTAACAGGCCATCTCAGCCATGACAAGTGGGTCCCACCAGCCTCATCCCCTCCTCTCACCGAGCTGCTAGTTTTGTGCTGCCATGTGTCACCTCCGAGATGGAGGAAGTCCCCCAAGCAAGGGCCACCACTGCCCTGCTCCCAGGTGCTGCTTATCAGCACACTGGCCACTGATGAGGTCTCCTGCTGCCAGCTGTAACTGGCAGATCTGCCTGGTCCAGCCTGGCAGGGAGGTGGGAGCAATGGTGGGACCAACCTGCTTCCCCGCATGCTTAGGAAATGGGTTCCTCCCTTGCTGTTGTGGTGACCCCTCCTAGCAGCCAGGGTGGCTCTGATGTGAGCATATGGGGGCCTGGATGCTTGATTTAAAGCTAAAACATCCCCAAGGGCTGAAGAGGTGTGTGGCCAATGCTGAGGCCCCTGTCACAGGGCTTTCCCCTCGCTGGGATGTGCCTGGCTGCAGGGAGGAGGCATGTGTCCCCTCGTGTGCTGGAGAGGATGTCACATGCATTGTCTGCTGGACATCCGCTGCGCCAGCAGCTGTGACCCAGAGCGAGCTGTATTTATGCCAGATCTTTCTCCTGCTCTCCCCGGGTTGGTCGGATGGATACAGCCTTTGCTGGAGAGCTCTTTCCTTTCAGCTCTGGGCGAGGGGATGGGGAATTTCTCCAGCTCCTCGCCAGCATGGCCAGTGCCTGCTGGGGCTGCCGTGGGTCGCTTTCCAAGCCACTGGAGATCAGCAGCAAGGCAGGATGGCTGCTAGCGGAGGCAACCTGCTTATCACATATCCGCCCTGCTTCCTTCCCGTGGGGAAGAGCTTTGATCAACTGGTGCAGGCCCCCGTGCCAGAAGCAGGGTCCAGTTGAGCATCCGTAACCTCTATGGAGGGTCCTGGGCACAGGAGGCGCAGACGTGGCTGCAGCATGAGGATGGGGAGCAGGACCCCATGGCACAGGGTCGTGCCCTGCGCTGCTGGGACTGCCTGTGCTTCCCTGGGCATGTGTGAGCGAGAGGGGTGATGTAGGGACAAAGAGCCAGAGCTGGACAGCAGCGATCCCTTAACCCAAAGGACCACAGTGGGTGGTGGTTTCAGGACATGCTACGGTGAGGTGTGACTTGTAGAAGTCCATTGGTGACTGGGTAGCCACCACTACTGCTTGGCCATGTCTGGATGGGATGGCCACACACTGACACCTTGTGATGGACACAAAGAAGAGCAGCCCAGCTTCACCTCCCAGGAGCTGATCCTGCTGCTGGGTTAGTGTGCAAGCACAGTGGCAGGTAGCCAAGAAGGGTACTTACAGGTCCTGGCAGCTTGGTGGTATCTTTCCAGGCATCATTAGGTACAGCACAGTTCAGCAGCTCCCACAGTTGCCAACAACCACAGGATTTGGACTAGATGACTTTTAATGAGCCCTTTCAACACAAACCATGCTATGATTTATGCTAAATCTTTGTGCCCTGATGCAAGAGCTGCTTTTAGAGAACCCAGGATGTAGTTGGAAGTGTTGCCCCTCTAAGTCTCTCATCTGCCAGCATGTCCATGAAAACTTGCTGATAACTGATATATAGGACAATACGATTCCTGGCTGACCTATGGACAATAGCGGTGGAAAGCCACTTGTCATCATCTGCCAGTGCTGGAGGTGGCTGGGAGTCTGAGATCCTTTTGATCTGTGGTTCCCTGTCTGATCTTATTTCTTTCTCAGCTCAGGACTGGGCTGAGGTTTGCTGTTTTCCTTCATGATCGCTCTTCATAGTTCAGTGATAAACCCTCGGTGGCTGGCCAGGTCTGATCCCTTCCTTGCTGCCTGCTTTGACTGGGGGAGGCACGAGGCAAGGGGGACAAGTGGGACCTGTGACAAGCTGGAGGCAACCAACGCGTTGCTGTCTGCCTGCTGGCACCTCGCTGAGTTCCCAGCAGTGACTGCTCACCTCTGTCCCAGGGAGACAGGCTGTTCAGAACAGGGTGTATTCCCCAGCCGGGGCCCGGTGATGTGTGCTCATCGGAAATTACTTACTGTGATGAATTTTTCTTCATTTAAAAAAAAATGTTTCTTGACTGGCTTTTCAAAGCTGGTCTGCAGGGACCACCCTAACGGCATGTCTGAGTCCCCAGCTGGGCGATTACAGCTTTTATTTGCTCAGCAAATTCTCACTCACTCAGTGCAAAAAGCTCAAATGAAGCTGTTGATAAAGCACCCTGGTTGTCCTGGCTGCAGGGAAACCTGGAGATCTCTCTCTGATCCCTGCCCTTATCAGACTGGCAGGCAAGGAGAGCTCTGAAGTCAAGGGTGCAGGGCAGAAGCACCAGTACCAGTGCTTCCAGTACCACCTCTAAGCTGCTGGCATGGGGAGAGACCTGGTCATGCTTTGTTCGTGTGATGCTGAGCCCAGATATGTGTCCTCCTCCGAGTGGTGGCTGGGACATCCACTGGTGGCACCAGCACACGTGCTTCTGCCCTGCCCGCTGCACGAGGCAAAGCCAGCCTGGGCTGGGCTCAGGGTGACGCTTCTTTAGACCAAAGATCATTTTCTGTGACAAATGCTGTGATACTGAACCTTGCCCCTGCCAAACCCCGGCCATTGAAATCCACACGTGATGTTGGAGGGACAGACTCTTCACATTTGCCACCCGTGGAGGAGAAGGGGCAAGGCACTGCTGCTGGGAAACAAAACTGCCCCGAGCCTTTGGGGAAAAAATAGTTTAATTGCCTAGCCAGGCTGATGAGGAAGATTCAAAGACAAAATTACCATTTCAAATTTTTTTAGCAAAGAGATTTGCTGATGCTTTCCCCAGCGCAAAATGTGTGAGCTGGACATGGCTGAGCGGAGATTATTTGGAAAGATTTTGAAGAGGTGATGTGCTTGCATTAGTTAGAAGCTAAGGGAGGAGGCTGGTACAACCGTTGGAAGGGATGTTTTTATTTTGCTCTTTGCAAATTTGCACTTAATTGCTCAGGGGAGAGGAAGAAGCTTGAGTAAAACAAATTCCAGTTGTTTCATTTTCCTCCTCTCAAAAAATGCATTTGGGGTTTCAAAGCCAGGTTTCCTTTAGAGATGTGCTCCAAGCTTGCTGACACTGACTGTGCTGCACCTCTGAGATTTTCACTGTGCATTTAGACAAGGATGGAAACATAGAGTATGAAATTGCATCCTTGTGTGGGACAAAGCTAAAACTAAAGAGCAGTGTGTGGTGGGTCCCATTCTTGAACAACCTGGGAGGATATCTCAGGAGGGAGCACCTTACAGGTGCAATGTAATTATGATCTAATCATCTTTAAGATGGGTAATTTTCTTCCTGTTTTAGTGAAAGATTTGTTGGAAACAAGGATCAGGAAAAAAGGTAGAAACCCCACCTGTTTCTGTTGATGCATCAGAAGTGATGTTTGAGGGTGTGTGGAGGAAGAAAAACAGTATGAACCATGCCTTTGATTCAGAGGACCAGGAAAGGTATCCTTTCTGCTGGGAGGAGGTTTAGTTTTGTCCATTGGACCTGGGTAAATACAATTTAACACAGGCTTGTAGGGGAAAGGCAGGGAGAGGGGACAGAAGGATCCTCTGCCAGATTCCTCTGGATAGAGCCAGATGTGGAGAGATGTGGCTTCCTCCACTGGATGAGAAATTTTCTCTCCTAGGGCAACTCCCCAAATCCTCAGACTACGCCTGTGTGAAATTATTAGGCAATGAGAAAGCATGTGGGGAGAGCTAGACAGCACATTGCCCTGGTGTAGCTGTCACTCTTGACATTAGCCAAAGCAGTCCTTCCTCCTTGTCCATGACTGCTCGTTAAGTATGACAGTGACATTTAAATGCTAGCTGTTTGTTGAGGGTTTTTTTTTTTTTAATGGTGAAATGGCTTCCAACTTCCTTCTGCTTTGCAGGTGTTCCCTTCCCCAAGCAGTTCCAGCAAGTTTGCACTAAGATCCTCACCCGCCTCTTCCGTGTCTTTGTCCATGTCTACATCCACCACTTCGACAGCATCATCAACATGGGGGCTGAGGCTCACGTCAACACCTGCTACAAGCACTTTTACTACTTCATCAGGGAGTTCAGCCTCGTTGACCATCGGGAGCTGGAGCCTTTGGTAAGGATGCCCCCGGGATGGGGAGGTGGAGGGGGTGAGAGTGGCGTGGGGTGAACAAAGCACCAGTAGGTTCAGGTTGGGGTTGGACCCTGAGCAGTGCAGTCACCCTCTCTGGACTCTTTCAGCCACCCTACCTCAGAAGCACACCCATGTTTTCTGTCCTGTAACCATCAGCCTTAGAGCAAGAACTTCCCAGCAACACTGAGAAAACTGTTTACCCTTTGAAAACCCTCCTCAAACTTTGCCTCTGCTGCCATGTCTATGAATCCCTCTTCAGTATCCTCAGGACCACCATAAGTGAGTGTCCCTCTATAATGTCTTGGTAGCTCTGATGCAATTTGCACATCAAAGTGTTTCCAGCCAGTTGTGTCCACATGGCCTTCAGGAGTCAGATCTGGAGACCCAAATCTTACTTCTTACTTCAGGAGTAAGATTTGGAGACCCAAGTCTCCTCTCCACAGTCTTGAGTTTTCTTATTAACAGACAAAGGTCCCTCCTTGAGATTCTGGTGTGAATTACAATCAGGCTGTGGGAAGGCAAGCCCCAGTAGGACACACAGCTCCAGACACCAGCCGTAGAGGCCAAGCTGGAGAGGCCTCACCGGAGCTCCCTTGGGAAGCAATTAGCCAGGCAGAGAGTGAGAGCCCTTGAAAATGGCAGGACTGGTGGGAATCAGAGGCCAGACAGCTCTGGCACATAAACTAGGAAATGCAGAGAGTTAGTTTTGAAAGAGAAGCAAGTGTGTCGTGGGCAAGGTTGAGTGTGATCTGACCTGGGGAGGAGAGGTTGCAACGAGAAGAATTAATAGGGAACCCAATTAAGGGGTGATAAGGGCTGGGCTGCAGAAAAGGCCATGTTCAGCAGCAGAGGGCCAGGGAAAGCCAAGAGGAAATAATCTGAGAGGGAGAAATAGCTGAGAAAAGTCCCAGCATGAGCTGCCTGTTTAGGAGTATCTGGGGGGGAGATGCCCCTCCCGCTGAATCCTAAGAGCTTTACTCCTTCTCTGCTTTCATTTGTCTCAGTCAATTTGCTGCCTGTCTGCTCTGATGGTGATTTGGGGGGATGGAGAGATGATGATCTAATCAGGGGAGACCTGAATGACAGCAGCATCTACATTAATTATGTGGTCAAGTTTGATTATGACCTGTATTATCACAATGGCCTTCAGCTCCAGAAAATGGCAGCTCCACGTCACTCTGTCCTCTGTTAGTCTTCCTCACCACTGCTCCTCTTGACAAACTTCTTTAGCAGTGATATACAGCCCATAATGGTGTCATCTCCTTTGACTGATGCTTGCTAATGTAAATAATTAGCACCTAATAGCCAAAGCAGAGGCTGACACTGCTAAATAGGCTTTCAATGCCAGTGACTCACATGGAACATGGGATGATTTATGGGTCTGGATGAATCCCAGATGAACAGATTTTCCTGTGTGATGCAACCAGGGTTAAACTACAAGGAAATGAGACACATTCACCTCTGGTCTATTTGTGCCTCATTTCTTGGCATGCCCATTACCTGGCATCCGAGCCCTAGAGCAGACCCAACCACATGGGAGACCTCCTTCCCTCGGGCCATGACTTGCTGTAGGTCTGTGTGGGAGTGTCCTGCAGCCAGGGGTGTCCAGTGTGTGTCCAGGATGTGCTGCTGAGCTGAGGAGGGAGGGAGAAGTTGCTGGAGGAAGAACAACTTCCAAAAACTGAAAGCGGTCCTTCTGGCCACGCTGTTGCCCCAGGGAGGCTGCAGCTTGGCACTGCCCTCAGTCCAAGCCTGTGTGGGTCAGGATTGAGCCAGTTACTTCCAACAGCGTTTCTTTCTGCTGCAGGCAGGGAAAGCAGTAACGGGAAGTTTCTTCATGTGCATCCCAGGGGCTTTTCCATAAGCCCCCGGGACCTGGCACGGCTCCCGTTCATTGTGCTGTTGAGCGTGTGGGCAGTTCATGCTGCTCTGGTTTTGCTTCAGCAGCAGTTCTGGTGATGCACAAACAGTAACATCCAACCTTTGCAGCACTTTCCACTTGACCTCAGCCCACCTTCCTGTAGCTAATTACTCCTCCCAGCCCAGAGCAGAACGCCAGTGACTTGCTCTGCTCGTCCCCCTTCTCACGGGGCTGCACCATAGCTGTCGCCCAGCTCCTCGGTGTTTTGAAGTCCTGAAGGATTGATTCATCAGCAGGGTTGAGACTTAAGCAAGGACAAGCAGTGTATTGCATCTGCCTGCCTTTTCAGCAGGGTTTAGTTTTTTCCAAGTTCTCAAGGGCTGCAGAAAGGCAATAATCTCTCAGGAGGGATGAGATGAACTGACCTTGAGAGGTTCAGTCTCTCCTGACTGCCTCAGAAGCCCAGACAACTGTCCCAACCTTGCATTTGGATGGCGAGAGTTAGTCCACGTGAATCCCCTGACAGAGGAGACTCCTGCCTGCAGAGGTGCCTCCTTCCTGCTCGTGACTATGGAAGGCATGTGGAGGGAGCACATGTGGAGCAGGACAGCAGGTCTGAGTGCTGTATTATGGTTGGAGCTTTCCAGATGTCACCAAGCATATGGAGGGAGCACATCTAGAGCAGGACAGCAGGTCTGACTGCTGTATTATGGTTGGAGCTTTCCAGATGTAGGCTTTCTACTCAGGACTCCCAGTTTTCAGATTGAGGAGCAAGAAGAAAGAAGAAGCAGCACCTCCCCAGCCAGAAAATGCCCTGTTAGGCCTAGATAGCTTAGAAAAATTATAAGGATTGTGGGATGGAGTTCTTGGTTTCTAAGCCTGCCTCTGGCTGAATGTCCCTTTGCTGCTTTCCCTTTTGGCAAGCTTCTCTGGGACGTGATTTCTTAGCAGCAAATCTTGGGAAGCGAGAATGAGATAGGCCCTTTGTACAGGCAGAAGGAGTGAAAGGCAGTGATTCACCCTCGTAACACACCAAGAAATATGGGGGCAGGGGGAAGCCGTGCACTTGCTTCCTTGACAGGGGCAGGTCGTGGCGCTGGGCAGCAGCGCTGGCCGAGGTCCAGCTGGTTACGGACCAAAGCAGAGCAGCGGGGATTTCCAGAGTGTGAAGAATGTCTTGGACATTCGGGGCCAGCCTGAGGAGCTTGTGGGCGGGCTTGGCCACCCCAGCCCCAACCCATCCTGTTCCACAGCTGCTTTAGTGCGTGGTGCTGTGTTAGAGGGGTAGGCTGGCTGCTGTTGCAAGAGGATGTTCACAGTCTTCTCACTCACCGCCCCCCCTCCCCGCTTCTTTCTCCTTCTTAGATGTTTGCAAACACTTCCCATTTGCAATGGGATTTTGTGGCACAGTGCCATCGGCTTTTCATTTGATAGCAGGTTCTGTGCTCAAGTCATTTTGCATTTTACTCCTACACAGAAGCCCTCTCTTTGCCACTCTTCCCCAATGGATTTTAAAAACAAAGCTCTCAGCACTGAAGAGCTGAGATTGCAGCTTCTGTCCGCATTGGTTCTATCACTAAAGGGCCTTTTATAGGGTTACTCAAGAGTCATCCTACTTTCCTGGTTCTCTTTCTTTCAAAGTTTCATCCTTCCTTCTCTGCAGACCAGTCCTACTTCAGATCTATTTTGGGAGCACATTTTAATGTGCAAACCTTTCTCTGGGGTGTGAGAGGGGGTCAGTGTGCACACATAGATTTACAAGCCGTGAACCTGATGAGCTAGAGAGAGTTACAGACTTTCCTCACTGCAGCGATGGACGTGATTTGCAAGCCATTAGTTGAGCTCCATGAGGTGAGGACAAACGCCGTCTTCCACCAGCTGAAAGCTGGACACCTTTCTAATGCCGCTGGCACGATGCCACCCTGGCTAAAGAAAACAGTCTGTCTCCCTGAACAGAGCTTGCTCTCGCAGGAGGTTTCACACAGAATCACAGAATGATATGGGGTTGGAAGGGATCTCTCCGGAGATCATCTCGTTTTCTGCAGCCCTCTGTAATTAGCACTCATTTGCATTGCACTGTGACCACGGGATCCCTTGCCAAAACCACAGGTCCTTCGGGTGAGCTGTTGTCACCTCCCGGAGCGAGAGCCAGGAGCAGCTCCGTGTCCTGTCTCCTTCAGCTCTGAGAGCGGCACCGGTTTGTCTGGCTGCTCTGCGGCTGAGTCAGGAGGTCCTGAGATGCAGGACCTGCATCTTTCAACATCTTTTGCCTTGGACTGCTCACAAAGCTAGGGCATGGCCAAAATAACCTTGTGCCATGGAGACCGAGGAGGGAGCTGCTGAGACAGAGCAGTTCCCAGGAGGGCTGGCATGGGAAACAGAGGGATGCTCCCCGAGACTCCCACGGTGGCTTCCTCGGGTTGTTTTTGGCCGCCTGCCAAACTGCCTGACACCTCACTTTAGCAAAACCTGTATTTTTGCACTGACTGTTTCTTTCTCTTCTCTCCCCTCCCACTTCACTGCAGAAAGAAATGACGGAGGAGATCATCTCGTTTTCTGCAGCCCTCTGTAATTAGCACTCATTTGCATTGCACTGTGACCACGGGATCCCTTGCCAAAACCACAGGTCCTTCGGGTGAGCTGTTGTCACCTCCCGGAGCGAGAGCCAGGAGCAGCTCCGTGTCCTGTCTCCTTCAGCTCTGAGAGCGGCACCGGTTTGTCTGGCTGCTCTGCGGCTGAGTCAGGAGGTCCTGAGATGCAGGACCTGCATCTTTCAACATCTTTTGCCTTGGACTGCTCACAAAGCTAGGGCATGGCCAAAATAACCTTGTGCCATGGAGACCGAGGAGGGAGCTGCTGAGACAGAGCAGTTCCCAGGAGGGCTGGCATGGGAAACAGAGGGATGCTCCCCGAGACTCCCACGGTGGCTTCCTCGGGTTGTTTTTGGCCGCCTGCCAAACTGCCTGACACCTCACTTTAGCAAAACCTGTATTTTTGCACTGACTGTTTCTTTCTCTTCTCTTCTCTCCTCTCCCACTTCACTGCAGAAAGAAATGACGGAGCGGATTTGCCACTGAAGGGTGTTGGCAGGAGAACTCAGCTGGCTCGTTCGGAGCCCGATGGGACAAAACACCCCGTGGTGGGAGACCTCTTCCCGAGGACTCGCCCTGGGCATTTCAACTCAATGAGCTATGAACGCTGCAGAAGAGCCTCTTCAGGACAGCGCTGAATCTGAAGCTTGTCAAGCATTTCTGGACGGATAACAATTTTTTTTAATAGATCCCAGTCTCTGTTGTATGGTTCCTGTCTTAGAAAGCCACTGACTTACTGGAGAACGAGGCAAGTTTGGCTGACTTTTGCACACTCTGGCTTCTAAGACTCAACCCCATGTCTGACAACAACCCTTCAGCCACCTTTCCTCTTGTTCTGTCCTCAGCTACAGTGCTCTCCACATGTTTTATTAGTGATTCCTGCCCCGTGAGCAGGTGTGACCTCACCTACCAAGTAATGTTACCTTTCCCACAGGCAGTGGGTTTGTGGTAACATCTGACATCAGCTCTGAAAAGCTGGTGACCTTTGAGCCCAACTGCCTTCAGGGGGTTGGTTGCCAATGAACCATTTTTAGCCATGACCTATGAATGTCTCTCCTCCTGCCCTAATTCATGCTTTACCAAAGGGACCATTTGTCCCCACAAGGGATTTTTTCACACTTGGCAGAGGGGACTTCATGATGTTCTCAGATGCATCTAACACTGCTTGGACTAACGGCCAGGTGGCCCCGTGACAGAGGTGGTGAACTAAGCCACTTTTCAGTGTGATCAGCACAGTCTACCTGAGAAACACTCCGAAGGCAGCGGAAAGACACTGTTGCCAGAAAACAACATTTTCAACATGTCAGCATTTCCTGCCATCTTGTCTTGGCTCAGGATCAGCAGATGCTGGCTGTAGAAATTGTTTTTCCATTATCCAGCCCTACAGCGTAGTAAATCAGGTGGAGAAGGCCTTTAAGAGGCATCTAATCCACCCTGTTCTTCCAAAAAGGCAAGATCAGTTCTTAAATCTTTCCGACCTTTTGAAAGCGTACCATTGCTACCTGCTCCATGCTGTTACTCCCCAGAAAGGTATTACATCTCAAAATTTCTTCCCCTTTTGCTTGCAATGCCTGAAAACGAGTGTGGTGCTCCCTGTGCCATTTTTAGTTTTGACAAGAGTTGACTTTTTTTTTTTTTTTAACTGTATTTGGGCAGTTAAAATCAAATTGTCTGAGCCACAGCAGTGTTATGTTTGTGTTTCCTGCCTTTTTTTCTGGGAAAGTTTTGTATTCCAGACACAGCTGATATTTATAATCTGGGGTTTGCCCATTTTAGGGGTAGGGAGGGGATGTGGGTAGAAAATGTAAATATTTAGGCCAACATCAAGTGCACAAGAGAATTTTTAGTGCTCAAAGCACTTGTTTTGTTGTGAAAAATCTATTTTTTTAATCTTGTGTACCAGATGTGTATTTTTACATGGAAATAAACCAGAGCAATGTGGACACAAAAACACCTGATACATCATTCCAATATTTTCTGTGTAAAATAATCAGTAAAAGTCCGAACATTTTTGTTCTGATACTAATTAAAGAAACGTTAATAAGCCTGGTGTGCTTCGTTTTTCACTGGTTCATCTGTAGCAAGACAGGCGTCATGAAAAACCACCCAGGATAACTTGAAGAGTGGATCTCCACTGAGACTTGCAGCACTGATGGACCCAATGCCATCATGTTGAAACCTCCGCTTGCATCTCTGAAGTCGGGTCTGCATCTTCCCCTTGCAGACTCTTCACCAGTGTCCCACCCGAAGGTATTTTTCCAGCAACACCCAATGGTGAGTTTTACTCACTAATTTTTGCAAAGTGTGGTTGGTCCTGGGATCCACATTCCAGCCTCTTCACATAAACCAGAACCTCAGGCACAAATCGCTGTGTGTGTGGTGCAGAGGCAGGAGATGACAACAGCTCTACGGGGAAACCTTCTGCTTTGCTGAGCAGTGAGGCTTGGCTGGACTTAATATACGGGACCCTCTGGAAGCTGTTAAGGCTGGGACTTCTGGAGAAGCTGTCTCAAGAGTGGGGTCTAAGGGATGAAGTGACAGCAGCCTACAGCTACTTCAAGGTGAGGTACAAACGTGACAGAGTCAACCTCTTCCCAACTGTAGGAGACAGTGACCAACAACCACAATTTGTGGCTTGGGAAGTCCAGATTAGACAAGAGGAAAGAAGTATCCAAGAGTGCTGTGAACACTCTTGGCCAGTGAACAGATACCCAAAGAGGAATTGTTAGCCATCAGTTTAACAAGGCTTGGTGTAAATAATGCCCGTGCACAGAAGCCTGCTTATATTTTTGTCCTCCATCTTGTCCTGCGGCAACAAGTTCCACCAGCTAATTATACATTATGCATTACAAAAGGGGAGTGTACCTTGTTTATTTTTTAAACCCATGCCTGAGGATTTCAGCCCTCCTGCTTTGGGAGGAGGTAAACCTCCTGTTTACCTCCTCCACTCCGTGGAGCTCCTATAAATCGCTGTGGAACAGAAAGCACTGTTTCTGAACGACCAACCCACAGGCTCATCCCAAGCAGCAATTTAAAAAAAGAATTTCAAGGGTCTTCCCTTCCCTTCCCTTCCCTTCCCTTCCCTTCCCTTCCCTTCCCACTTTTCTTTTCAATCTGCTTTACCCGAGGAAACAAAGCTCATGACTGTGCTGTGACAACTGCATCTTGAGTAACTCTGGAAGCAGTAAAGGGAGACGGGGAGATCCTTCACTGTCAGAAAGGTCCTTCTGTCTCTCTCCAAGAGATTGAGCTATTCCCCTGGTCCTCTTCCACCTGAGATCCTCCCAGCCTGGAGTGTTTAATGCCTGAGCGCAGCAGAGACGTTTATGAAGCAAAAAGCATTGAGGTAAGTATCTAAGGCAACGTTCTCCTCCCTTCAGGAGGCGGGAGTGTGCCTACGAGGCTCCAACATCCTCAGAGCTTCAACAAACATCTCTGCACAATTTGAAAGCACCCAGGAACCCTGAGATGCATTAAATATGCACAGAGCTCTCGTTAGCCCCGGCTCCACAAATGACTCATCTGCTCAGCTGGCTGCCAGGTGCCTGGGACTCACTTCTCTCTTTGTAAAATCCCTTGGTTCTCCTGATGAAGGGGAGAGGTGCTACTGCTGGGCTTTTATTTTCTTTCTCTGCAGCCACCCCGTCCTTCAGGACCCAGTAAAAGGCTGTGGTGCCGGTCACCAGGTCACATAGAGGCTGGCAGAGGAGAGAGAGCGTGCTCTGCAACATGAATGTGTCCTGTCCTCTGCAGATGCTGCAGAATTAAGAAAAAGCCTTGGATGGGCAAAAAAAGAAAAAAAGATCTTTGTGGAGCATAACGGCTCCTGTCACAGTGTTTCCAAGGGTTAAAAATCTGTCCACACTGGGAGAGGATCATGAAGCCACTTGGGATCAGAAAGGGATGAGATGGGTTAATAACACTAGATCCATTACTTGATAGATTACTTGGAGATGGGGGATGATGCTGATTCTAGCAAAAAATTTCACAACTAGAGGCAAGTGTGTCTCTCTCGAAGGTGTACAGCTTTTACTTTCTGGAGGCTGATGGCTTTGCTAGTGCAGCCCAGTCCGCCAGATTCCCTCACACAGGTCAGGGAAGGACAAATGACTCATAAATGTCAAGAAAACTTCGAAGCAAGAGTGTGGCATTCATGTCCCCGCTGAAAAGAGACCCTGAGTCAGAGCTGAAATGCCAGCAGTGCGTGGGGAGACTGCTGCATGTCTACCCAGATGCAGAACGGAGCAACAGCAAATGGGGTCTCTTACACGAGAGTCTCTTTCTGTAGAGGTGGCTGCGGGGGAAACAAAAGCATGGTCTGCTTGCAAACTTCTTGAAGGTCTCAGTGGAACACAATCCATTCAGCTCCGATGAGGCACCTTACTTTGAGATGCCAGGTGATGGCACCTGCTACTGACATCCATAGGGCAGGACTCACTGCCTGTGTAGTCACTCAGTGCTGGCCAGACTTTGACTGCCCCAAGGTCTCCACTCTCTTCCAATGTCTGAGCTCACCCAGTCTTTCCCCCACCCAAGCTGGAGCCAGCAAGAGGCTCCTCAGCACCAACACGGATAACTGGGATAGATCAGTTGATACCCATTGGATCCTGAGTCCAGCAGCTCCACCACTGCTGCTTCTTAAAGGTATTCTGGCACTTGTTCTCCCAAAGCATGTGTTTTGGTGGAAAACCTGAAGGAAATCTGGGACTTTTCAGGAACCCTGGATTGTAAGGCTTCTCTTGTAGCACAGCTGGGTCTGGATGCTGGCTGCTGGGGTACAGGGTTGCTTCATACTCTGCAGGTGGTGGTTTGCATTTAACAGCCTCCTGCTGGGAACAATAATCACGAGGGGGAGGAAAAGGATCCATATTTTCAGAATGCTTCCTTCAGCCTGTGTCAGAAGGAGAAGCTTCACCACCATTTGGGTAATCCTCCAGCAGCTATTTTATGATTAACTTTAATGAAGCTGTACCTCCTGGGAGTTGCCATACTGGAACAGACCTCTCCTTTGGTGTTTATTATTTTCTATCCGCTGGGCCAGTTGCCAATGGCTTTGGGTTATCCCCTAATGACAGAGTGAGGGAAGCATTTTGCCAGCCGTTCATGCGACTCTCAGGTGAGCATATCTAAGAGCCAGCAGTCTTGGGGCAACTTGCCGTTGGCATCCTGGGCTGGAGGCCAGGACCAGCACTGCACTCGCCGTCTCTCTCCCTTGGGTCTTACTCATCTTCCAGTTTTCCAGCAGTGCCAGGATTCTCCACGCTTATGTGCACTGGAGGCAATAAAAGCCGAGATGTACACGAGGTCTCAGCCCCAGCCTACAGTAACAGGGTGGGTGTGCTGGGTTTGGTAGCCACGTAAAGGTGGAGACAATGTTATGGAAAGCCTTGATTGTGGCAAAATGTTCTGCTGTTTTGGTGACTGGTACAACACAAGCTGGCAATGTGCGCTCGCAGCCCAGAAAGCCAACTGCATCCTGGGCCACATCAAAAGAAGTGTGGCCAGCAGGTTAAGGGGGGTGATTCTGCCCCTCTACTCCACCTGGTGACATCCCACCTGGAGTACTGTGTCCAGTTCTGGGGCCCCAGACGTAAGAAGGACATAGACATGTTGGAGCAAATCCAGAGAAGGGCCACAAAGATGATCAGAGGGCTGGAGCACCTCCCCTGTGAAGACACACTGAGAGAACTGGGGTTGTTCAGCCTGGAGAAGAGAAGGCTGCGGGGAGACCTTATAGCCCCTTCCAGTGACTACAGGAGAGATGAGGAGGAACTCAGGGGGTGTGGTGACAGGACAAGGCGTAATGGTTTTAAGCTGAAAGAGGTGAGATTTAGATTAGATAGGAGGAAGAAATTCTTTGCTGTGAGGGTGGTGAGACACTGGAACAGGTTGCCCAGGGAAGTTGTGGATGCCCCTTCCCTGGAAGTGTTCAAGGCCAGGCTGGATGGGGCTTTGAGCAACCTACTCTAGTGGAGGGGTCCCTGCCCATGGCAGGGGGGTTGGAACTCGATGATCTTTGAGGTCCCTTCCAACCCAAACCATTCCATGATTCTATGATTCTCTGAAGTGTCTGTGCTGCTGCTGGTTGGGGTCGGTGGGGGAGTTCAGGGGTCTGCAGTAACAGCCTTTGATCTAATGATCAGTTCGTACAGTGGACACAAGCATTTTTCTGCTTGTTTCCAGCAGGTTTGGTTTGTTGGTCAAATGGAAAATGTTTATTGAGCAAACATTTTCCAGGTCCTATGTTCCTTGGGCTTTCCATTAAATAGAGTCTGTTCAGGCTCCCTGCCCCCAGGGGCAGTGGGGTGGCACTGTGGGACGATGTGATTATTCCTCATGGGCCTGGCTGTAGGAAAAGCAGGTTTCAGCCTGGCGTTCACATCCATACGGGCACTTCTACGGTCCATTTTGAGAACTCCTCCTTGTCCCCTGCTCTGAACAGCTTTGCCAGATGGAACACTGAAACATTGTCTCTTGGGGGTGGAGATATCTCACACTACCCATAAGTGAATCATAAGGTTTCCTGAAAGAAACAGCACTTTCTCTTTTCTTTTTCTTTTTTTTTTTTTTTGGGCAGGGGGTGGGTGGAGAAGGGCCATTCACAACGAAGGAATGACACAGAAGCTTGATCCTGGGAAATGTGATTGTATAAGGCCGTCTCTGGGCTTAATCGCTTAAATGAGAAGTATAATTTTCAGAGAAACTGAGCCTGTACGAATTCCCCGAACAGCAGAGGGAACGGTACATGCTCTGTGGCCTGAAAATCAGACTACTCTAGATTGCAGGTGCTTAAATATAGACTTAGGTGCTTGGCTGTGGGCAGATAAGAGAGGAATAATTCTAGTCAGGGCTTGAAATCATTTTAGTAGTAAAACACAGGCCAAAGTACTGTGATCCAGTTGTAACACTGCTAAATCAAAACTGGCTTTGGTAATTACTTCTTATTTGCCTAACAGCCAGCAGAGATGGCTCCTTATCTCCTCTGCTGTGCGCTGCATGGGTAAAAAGCAGACATGTACTTGAAAAGCTATTAAAAGAATAAAAGTCATGTGAAAGAACTACTTATTTTACTGTGGTTAATAAACCAATTATGCTGTTTGAGGAGGTGCTCTCTTCTTCACTTTTCATGGGACTTAGCTCTGAAATATTAGCATAGTCATTTCCTAGAAATGCCACACCTATTCTATTAAAACCAACAAAATGAAAGTCTTTTTTTTTTCTTTTTTTTTTCCCCTCCTGCTTTATAACAGGTTAGATCGAAATTTAAGATTTGTCCTCTTGTTAAGCGTGTTGTGCAGCTGGGTTACCTTGCAAATAAGAAAAGGGAGAGAAAACCAAGGATTCAAATATATACACCTTGTTTTGAGAACAGACGCCTACTTTCACAGGCAGACAACGCTGTGTTGTGTGAGAGCCCTTTAACCCAGTGGAGAAAGGTGTAACAAGAAGCCATGGATGGGAATTAAAAACCACAATGAATTTAATTTGAAAACACGCTACGGAACAAAAAGCTTGAGGTACTGAACTGATACAGTCCTAGATGCTGAGATGTTGCTTCCATGGATTTGAGCTATTCTCGCAGACAATCCTTTACTTCAAGTGGAGGTACACATGGGAAGATGTTCAGACTCTTCAAGGATAAAAGGTTTCAATTTGTTGTGGAAATAAGCGGGCAGCTTGTGGAGAGCAAAGACTGCTAATGCCCTCCCTAACGGGAGAGGGAAACACGAGTGTCCTCAACCTGGACAGGCCACCAGAGATTCACGTGGGGAAGAGCTGCTGGGAAGTGGCTTTGCTGTGGAGAAGTCTTCACCCAGGCTTGCACATCATCAGACATCAGAGCACTGCACCAATATGCACACAAGCGCATCCCTAGGAAATCAGGCTTCAATGCTTCTGCTGCTTATAGGAGATGCTCTTCCACGCCAGCTTGGTGGAAAGAACAAAGCATGCTTTCATCCTGGGAGAGGATACCACAAAGATATCATTGATGTTCAGTAACCCCATCCTGTCCTGGGACCTGCAGGCTTCAGCTGTCTCAGGCACGACTTTGATTCTAGGCTGTTTCCTTTGAACCCAGGTGAGGAATTGGCAGCTCTCTCCAACTGTGGCGCATCTTCCTGGCCCCTTGGCAGAGAAAGCAGCAAAAGCAGGTAGCAGACGTCTTAACTTGCCTTAGATGTGATGAGCTTGTGGCTTGGAAAGTTGTGGGTACCAAGCTGCATGTCCAGACTGAAACCATACAGTGCTGGGATGCTCATGGGTTACAGCTGTAATTCACTTACCAAGCTGAATTTGGTGTTTCTTTTGAGACATTTTAACAACAGCCACCACTAGCAGAATTGAACAGCTTTGGGTGAAAAACACTGCTAACAACAATATGTTATCAACCCCATGTGTGGCAGCAGAGTTGAAAGTTTTGGGCCAGCATAACTCAAAGAGGTTGCTTTCCCTCCATGGCAACTTGGAGATGGTTTCTGGTGCTCTAAGGCTGGGAAGGGCTATATCTCTCTGGCATCCACAGTCCTAAAGGCTCTTTGCCATGTGGCAGTTACCATCTTCCAGTTGAAACGTGGTAATGAACTGTGTGCAAATTCCCAGATCTTGGGAAATGCGAAATAAAATGAGTTAGAACATCTGTATGGTGACTGTTAAAGTCCAGCTAACTTGGTGACTTGCAATTTGCTTTAATTTTTCCAGGCATATTCAGGTTCTGCTTCAAAGGTTCCCACTATCTGTCTGATCTCTGTAGCCACACAGCAGCAAAGCCACACACACACAGAGTGTGGCAGAGCTTGCAGTCTCTTGGCACAAACATCTCCCACTTCCCAGCAAAGCTACTATCTCCACTGACATTTGAAATTCTTACAGAGAAGATACTGTATCACAAATGAGGTAGGACTAGTATTTCACTGGGGTTCTTGTTGGACTTGATTTCAATCTACTCTCTTTTTTTTTTAATATGGACTCTAAAATTACCAAGTTTAAATCTTTCTGTTTAGCTTACTGGCAGACTGAAATGTCACCCAAACTCAGAATGACCTTATAAAATGTCAATCTGAGTTGATATGGAAAAGTGCTATTTCTTGCCAGCGATACTTCTCTGCAAATGAATCCACCTCCCCGCTCAGCCTCACGGTGGGAAGTAGCACTGATAGCTGTCTCTTCCCCAGCCCTTTTAACACCAGAGAAGTAGACTAGAGGTGCTCTGTAAAACTAAAAGAAAGGAGACTCATCCACAAACTCCAAAGCAAAGATTTCCACTATTAGTGAGCCATTTTTCTCTGGGAGCTCCCGTGCACAGCCGGCGCTTCCTGAATAAAGAGGCTTCTGAGAAGTTATCCTTCGCACCCCTGTTGTGCCCTAACACTTCTGTGAACAACAGAACTTGGTGCAGGCAGTCCTATTAGCTCTTTTAACTCACTAGGGTCTTTTCTGTAAAGCTATCACCTCAACTGCCTACGCTGAATTTTGTTAATTACTGTGGCTTTTCCACAAGTGCTTCTTCCCAACCCCGCAGAGGGATGTGGAGGCTGCAATACAAGATGGCGGCTGCCCAGCTCTGGGCCTCGGGCTACCACAGGGGGTCCCTGAGGGGCCCTGCACCTTCCTGCCAGGCGTGGGGGCACGGCCAAGTGCAGCCCCCTCTTCTGTGAGGAAGACTGCCATCTGCCAGCCTAGTTTGGGGACCAATGCCCCCAATAACGTCGCCATTCAAGAGGCCCGTAGCGTTGGCCACCCCTCCGCTCGCACTGCGCATGCGCGTCCGCCGGGCTGCGACCCCCGAGGTTGCCTCGCGCGCATGCGCAGAAGGGCCGCTCGCCCTCCCGCCCGCCCGCGCGGGGCGGTGCCGTGCGCATGCGCGCTCCCTCCTCCCCACAGCCCGCAGCCGGGAGGGCGGGCAGCCCGGCACCGCCCCCGCCGAGGGACGCCGGCGGCCGCCATGGAGGTGAGGGCGGTGGGGCTGAGGCGCTCCCTCAGGGCTGTGCGGTGGCGGTGTGTAGGGGGCAGGACGCGGCTCCCCGCCCTCCCCGACTGGGTCAGCTGAGGGGAGCCCTGAGGCGGGGTGGGGAGAGCGGTCGCTGCCTGCCAGAGCTGCTGCGAGAGCGGGTACCCTCAGCGGGGCTTGCCCGGGCTCCTCCGGGGCGTGTGGAGGAATAAAGTCCGGGAGCGGTGGCGGCCCCGGTTTGTGGGGTGGTGCCGGGGGCTAGGGACAGCTGGGAGGCGGTAAAATGCCTCCAGCCCTTCGGCCGGCAGCTTCGGGTCTCGGGGCCCTCTCCCAAGGACGTGGGAGTTGTTGCTTGGAGCTGGTTATTCCCTGAAGGCTTAAACCGCTGTATGTAATACATAGTGCGTTTTTTAATAAAGAGTGGTAAGTCTATATAAACTCCTACGACAGCTGCTTTCTAGCAAGAATGTTGCTGGAGTGGAAGGTGGGCAAAGGCAAATGTCCCTAGATTTGATCACCAGTGTTCTTTTAGTTCTTCTTGTGTTTTCCGTCTGATGTGAAGTGATGGGACCTATGAACCGCCTGGGAACACTGGAGGTCTGTCTAGATTTAATCCGTACCTCACCTCTGTGGTATCTGTTAGCCTGACCAGGGTGACCTTCTGAGGCCGTTCAGAGGGAAGAGCAGCGGTACAGCCCCGGTGACAGTGTGGCTGCTGGCTTCGAGCTGCACGCGTGGTAGCCAAAAGTCAGCCCATTCCCCTGACACCATCGGCACTTGTTTGTGAAGTGTCAAATTAAACCACTCTTGAGATTTTTTTTTTTTTTTTTTCCTTTTATGAGTCTACTGCTTATAAAAGCCTCACACAAATTTATGCCCCACAATTAGCTTGGAAAGACTAGCGTATATTCTGATAACTTTGAAGAACTACAGTTTGGCTTTTTTTTTTTTTTTTCCAAAACAGTGCTCCTCTTCATGCCTTCCAAGCGCTGGATAGAAGCAAGGCAAAATACATTTTCGGAGCTGAACCTCTTCCACTGCAGTTCTAAAGGTAATCTGTTTTGGTATTGGCAGCAGATAGAGTGGATTTGGGTGCCTTGGACACTTGGAAGTTGCTTGACATTTGAGTATTGTCCATCGTGACATTATTTCATGGTGTGAATGCTGTATCAGTACTCCCTAATGCTTTCAAAAAAGGTATTTACTGCGGTGAGGAATTCCATCTCACCTTTTAGTACCTTCCTGGTAACAAATGTTAAAACGCTGGTACAAATCTTATGTGGCATCAAATGTGAAGATGCAGTGGAGTTTAATGACTTAATTTTGGAGTTGAAAGTAGAGAGGAGGGGAAAAGAAAGAAAAATCAAATCTTGCTTCAAACTTTAAAAAACACACTTAGATTAACCTTTCCAAACAAGGCTGCTTGCTAATGTGGGAGTGTGTTGTGTAGCTATTTTTCCAGTGACAAATGTTATTATCTGATCATTCGTGGGATGTGGGGTAAGAGCAGGAAATGCTTATCTTGTATCTGTTTGAAATTAAATGTTGTCTTCTAAGAAGTTTTTTCTCTTTGGTTTTGACTTGAAAACTATCAAGGGAGCTGAGTGGGGTTAGAGAAGCTAATTCGAGATGCAGAGACAGTCTTCTGAGAGTTGTTGATGCCATCAGACGCAGAAGAGAGTAAGCAGCTTAGTGTTTAGTGAGTGGCCCTCAGAACTTACTTGCCTTGCATATCTCCTTAATTTAAAAGTGCTCTAGGGGTTAGAAGCCTGGAGTAGTTGAGTCAAAGTACTGTTGCAAGGACTTTTAGAATGTGTGTGATCTGGAGTTTAAAAGAAGGTTTCTGAACCGTGATGGAAACCCTTAAATATGAATTGTCTGCCAGTGGTCAGTAACATTCAATATCTTGTTTGGCTGTGCCTGTACTACTGTATGTGGAGGGAGGGAAGATGGTCTAATGCAATAGCCAGTGCATGTGCCATGCTGTTCCCAGCATTTGTTAGCCCCATGAAATGCACCCTATTTTGCCCTCTCATCTATGTGGCTGCCTCAGAGGCATTTTGTCCTAGAGCAAGAAATTAAACAGATTACTGTGTGTTTTTAAGCCACTTTCAGTCTCATTTGTTATCCTTACTTATTAACTCATAGCAGGGTCAGAACACTTGTCTAGTTTGTCTTTCTGGGGTGAGGTGGGTGGTGTGGTAACAGTTCTTTTGCTGTCATTCTGAATGAGAAATAGTGCTTTTAGAGAAATGCATGTGTGTCTGTACGAACACAGGCAAACCTCAGCAGAAGATCTCATGTCTACAGCATGTGTGCTGAAAGACACTACTTTCTCCCAAAACGAGAGGGAAAGGGATACTGTGTGCTCTCTGCTCCATTAAGGTTCTCTTTGCTTCCCCAGTAGTAAGCACGGTGAAGTAATAAATTGGGGCGGGAGGAATCTATCTGAAATAACTTTATGTGCTATCCTGCAAAGTGAGATCCACCCATTGCTGGAGGGTTTGACTCAGAACCTCAGAAACCCCGTGCTTAGTTTGCAAGGGAAGTGCCTAGCTGAGAATACCAAGAGTTAGACTCTGCAACTTGCGTACGCAGAAGATAAGGTGACTCTGGTCTTCTAAAAGTGTGACAGAAAGGAATCGCAGAGGTAAAGAAAAAGGTTGCTGTAACCTTTTCTACAGAGTGAAGGATTTTAGAAGGATGGTGTCAGCTGTTATGCTGTGTAGGTGTTACAGGAATGTCTGCAGCAAAGCAGAATTGATAATTTCTCTCAGACTTGCTCTTTCATGAAATCAGATCACTCAGGCTTCCCGTGGAGTTTTGGGTGTTCGTTTCAAAATGTTAATGCTCCTGATTCTTATTGGAAAGACATTGGAATGTTTTCAAGTTCCTCTTCCTTCATGGATAATTCAGATTAATCAGTTAAATGATACTAAAAGTTTTCTTGTAGATGGGATGAGAAGGTAACTGACAGTGAAGAATGAATTATGGCAAACTACTGTAAAGAATACTCACTTTAAATTAATATTCTTACTAAGGCGATACAGAGTGAGTATTAAAATAATCTGCTTTTGGATTTGACACAGGGATGTCCTAAAGAATTGGGCATCCTTCCTTTTCATGTTGTGTTTCTCTTGATCTGTAACGTTTCAAGCACAATTAATTACTGTGTAGTCACTTTATAAATGTAGCTTTGATTGTTCTGAGCTTTCTGCAACTAGGAGGTTTTGGCAGAATCAGCACCAGCTGCGTGAGTCCTGTTTCATTATGAGCCAAATTTACAGGAATCAAAGTGTTTCTGGAGAAGGAGAAGTCCAAGAATGATACGAGCAACTGAGTTGGGAGGAAGATGAGACTCAAATCTGTTTCCTATTTGTTTCTTTGTCCAAAACTCTCGTTATCTGAAATGTTAAAGTGGCTTAACTTTTTTTTTCTTAGTTTTTGAGCACACACATTTACTTTTAAAGTCTGAGAGTCACAGGGATGTCATGCTTGTGGAATTGAGGGACTTACCCATGCCTAACTATTTTACTAAATCTGTTGGTAGCTGTTTGAACAAGTAAACAATGGTTTTGAAAATAAGTGTAAATCAACAGAGAAGTTGGATGCTGTTCAGATGGTGCAGACTGGTCTGCCTGTTGTTTGGTTAGTCAAAATAATATTTTTAAATCTCAATTGGAAAAGCCTCATCAGAGATCTTCGTGGGCTTTTACCTGGTCTGAATAAAAAGCCTTTGCTTTTGCAGTATCTGTGGAACAGCGATACTTTTGTAATTGCAGCAGTTTAGGTACCACCTCAGTAGTCTGAAAACATCCTGTGCCAGCACATCAGCTTTTGAATTTTGTTTCATCTCTTCAGTTCCAGGTTGTGGCTATCCTCTGTGAAACCACAGAAGGCTTTATTTGAGGCTCCTGATTCTTCTTTTCTTCCAATAGTGTTGTCTGAACATTAAAGTTTGCCACTTGCTAGTACCTGTTCTCAGGAGAAGATTTTCAGGTGTGGGAAATGCCTTCTCTTGCTGCTGGTCTGTTGCAGCTTGTTTGTTGGCCTTCAAGACCAGTTTAAGATACGCTTTAACTTGGTGCTGTTATGATTGTAGTTGTGTACCTTGGCAGAGTGTTGATCTAGGTTAGGAGTATGATAATTCTTGTTTGTTAAGAGTAATATTCTGTATTTTATATCTAAATGTGTTATGGTTCTCCAATGATACCACAGCAAGAACTAATGAACACCATAAATCCCTCCTTTTTTTTTTTTTTTTGCAAGACTGTATCAAGGGGGTCTTATCTTCATTTGACACGACCGGAGCCCTGAAAATAACGCTGTCTTTTGCATTCCATACTTAAGAGTTATAAAGTCCTTAATGCAGGGGTGTGCTCTTGCTGTGTGCTCACATGAAGCCTGGCACAACAGGTTCTTGCAATCTCTTGGGACTCTGCGTTCTACCCAAATGTGTGTAACGATGTTTATGTGATTTCTGAATGTAAATATGATTGTCTTCCTTTTCAGCTGCAGAACAACCTGACTCATGCAAGACCCAGTTTTGAAGCAGGTGGTAGTACCCGGACTGTCTGCCTAAACTGCCTTCTTCCATTGAATTCAAACGCACAAACAAGGTATCTGCTTCTTAATAGAAAAAGGCATCTGTATTGTGTTCTCCGAGTGCTTCCTGTACACGTGTGTGCTTGTTTTCTAAATATACCCTTCCTTCCTTTGGGAAGCAGATTAGAGTGAGAGGGGAGGTATGTCTGGATATTGGATTTTGGCATGTTTGCAGGTGGAATGTTAGGCAACAAGATGAAGGCTGATTTAAGGTCTGGATTAAGCGAAACTTATGGTAATTGTACCTTTTCTTCTTCACTTGGCATTGTTTGCAAGTCGTCTTTCTGATAAGTGCTTTTGTGGAGTCCAGAACAACAAAAGGGAAAGGCTGTAACTATACCTTCCTACACAGGCTCTGAATAATGTGTATGTTAAAAATACTGCCTTGACACTGTTACAATGATAATAAAATAGAGGACTTCCAACAAAACTGCAGCTAAGACAGGAACTTGCTCTCTTTTTGCTTGCAGTATGGATTTTGCTGGGTTATATTATCTGTGAGCAATAGTCCTAACCTGACTGGAAGAAAAATACAGATCAGAATTTGAATTGTTCCCTGTTTCTTCAGCTTTTGTCAGAGTGCTGGTCAGACAGTAGCCTCTCGGAGAACAGTCTGACTCGGTTATGGTCGAGAGGGATGTAAGAGTTGTTACTTATCACAGGTTTGGCTAGTCTGCTCTGAACATCAAGTAGTGTTCTACTCCCACCTCCCCACACTCAGCCAGAATAGATTATAAAACGGGTGGGCAGGTTGGTTTGGTGGAAGCAGGTGTTTAGTGCTTCAGGCCACATTGTAAAATGACCTTAGAATGACAACAGTTAGGCATTCCTCTTGCACCTGACGTGTCCGTGGGCCATTTCCCTCCAGAGCAGTTCATCCAGTCTCTGAGTTTTCTGTCTGGGAGGGTGAGCTTTGTCAGAGCCCACAGTGTCATTGTCACAGAGGTAGTCCTGCAGTATGCAAAACACCTCAGCATTGCTTGGATGGTTGAGGCACACTGTCTTGCAGCGTCATCAGAAACTCTGGCATACAGTAACAGAAACACAAGCAGTTCTTTGAAAGCCTGAAAAGCCTCTAAAGCATTTGGCTGGGCTAAAGGCATTTTCTTGTCATACCAGCTGTTCCTTAAACACTGGTTCATTATAACAAAATGGATAATGAGAATTAAGCTGTTATACCTCTAAAAGAAAAGCCGTGTTGACACAAGTGAACTATGCAATGATGTGAAGCAGCAGACCAGAAGGGTAATAAGGACCTAATTTAGTAAACATTTCATGCCTGTCATAGCAAATTTGGCCAAGACTATGGGCTGAAAACATGAGCTTTTCAGTAAATTGGTTTCTGTATACATGACTAGTGAACTTCCTGGATTCAAGGAAGTAGTTCTTTGTCATTTAGGAATTGAGTCAGACTAAAGGGAATTGAAATAATGTAATGAGGTATTAAACACCAGAGTAAATATCATAGCTAACTGGTAGCGAGCAGGAGATGGTTGTGAAGGAATATGTCAGCTGTTCTAAGATGCAGGATTAATCTGTCTTTTTTCTAATTTTTAGTCTGTTACAAATTCTGAAACCATCTAATACCTGAAATGGAATTGAGTCTGTCTAGGTATGACTTGTTGACTTGCAGAAGGTCAGGTAATTAAAATTACTTGTTTGACACCTTCTGGAAATCAAGCATTTCCTTCAAGCAGACCAGCTCTATCTCTGAGCAGCTTCGTATGTGTCATTTTGATCCCAGTTCTAAATAATTTCTAATGAGGGCTCAATTGAAATCAAGGAGAGCTGGAAGTTGCCATCAAAGGCTAGCCTTCTCTTTATGTTAAAATACAAAACTCTGTGTGGGTCAGTTTGAGTTAAAAAGAAGCTGTTGCTTCAGATGTTGGTGAAATGTATGCTTTTATATCTTATTGTAATGAAGAACTCGCATATGTCATCCATCGTGATGATTTCTTAACACATTCTGCTTAAAACTTGAAAATGAGGATTTACTCTTGTCTTGAGGCTTTGATTGATACGTTTTTAAGGGTTTCAGTAAGTTGGTAAAGAGAAAGGATTTTCAAAATGGCATGTCTTAAAGTGAGTTCTAAATGGCACTCATAATAGCTGGTACTGACAGATATTGACAAGAAAAGTACAATGTGAGTTCTAAGTGGCACTCATAATAGCTGTTACTGACAGATATTGACAAGAAAAGTACAATGAAGCAAAGAAAAAGTATTTCGTGTATCATTAGATTGTTGTGTAATATTTTCTACTTCGGAGCTTCTCCTGTGTTTTAGGAGTAGTTTAGAAACAGTGAGAGGCAGAAAAGTGTCTATTCACAAAGGATCTCTGTCAAAGGAGAATTGCCACAAGATTTTTTGTAGTTGTTGTTTTTAGGACTTGCTCTTCTTTCATTACCAGTGTTCTCATAATTATGCTATTTCTAGCAATTTAGTTTTTTTCTGCAGTACGAGATCTTTAATTGTGAATTTACTTAGAAATCCTCCTGGCTGTAAAATGTCTTACGAGTGTTTTACTACTGCCTTAAAGACTTGGAGGCATCGTGTTTAACTGTTAAGGCCACCTTGGCAGGATGTGACTGGTGATGTGCTCATGCGAGTACAGTGAGGAATCATTTAACCTTTTTGGAGATAGGTCAGCTGTTTGAAGCAGCCTCTGGCAGAGAAAGCCTATAGCAATGTTTTTATTTAGGCCTTCCATAAGAATGTGAAGGTGTTTTTTCTTTTTCTGCCATATTATTTTGCATCAGTGAATTGTTATCTCTGACTAAGCTCTTGCGATATCTGTAGCCAGTAATGCGGGAAAAAATATACCTAAATGCCATAAGCATTGCTTGTTTTGGAGCATAAGGTATCCACTGATCTGTGGTTTATAAAGGCACATCATGGTTCTCTGAGAGAGACTGGGTTTTTTTCTGGCCTTTTGGCAGCATAAACTGACCTAGATCACTCATTTGACCTGTTAACGCCTGTGGTTGCTTTGTTTCACCAGGTTGCTTGAAACCTCCCCACACCTTCCTTCTGTTTTGGAAACTCATTTTCTTAAGATGCTTGAAAAAAAAAAATCTGCTTGTAAAACGGTAGAACAGCTGAAAGAATAGTGCCCTTGTGAGGGCTGTAAATCCTGTCTTGCATCAGGGCATGTGTTATGTTGTGGGTAGCTCATGGTCATTGTTGACAAGGTTATTCTCATGCTTTGCCGTGCTGTGCCATGAGAGGAGGATTCAGTAGAGATGCATCATTATTTTCTTCTGTTTTTACATTTCTCTATCAAATCTCCCCAGAGCTGTTCATTAGCACCCAAATTGTCTTTTTAGGCTTCCTCTGATATTTGGGGGAGAGATGGCAGCCTGTGATGAAGAGAAGAGGAGGAACAAGAGCATGTTCATGTTCTCCTGAAGTAAAGTAATTGATTGTGTGTTAAAGGCACCTTTATGTTCTGCCACACAGAGATGGTCAGCAGTCAGCCTCTCCCCATAGCAGACAGTGGGAAAAGGAAAAAGAAAAAAAGAACCAGAGCCACAGATCACGTCCCTGGCAAGTTTGAAGGTTGGTGGCAACTTCTAAGCTTTTAATTGTAATGGTCTGTTTTCCCTCTGCTGTTCTCAGTTTTCTTAGCTGAGCATTGCTTTTCGGCAAACATTGTAAGTTAACATTTCTGTTTCTCTTTATCCCCCATGTTTCAGTCTTTTTCTTTTCTTAGTGTTGAAATCTGAGTCCTGTTCATAATTTGGTGGTATGTTTTGCTTTGGTGGGGTTTTTTGGTTTGTTGTTTTTGGGGTTGTTTTGGTAGAAAGAAAATGTTGTCAGAATGTTTTGATTTGAATAGATGTGAGCGCAAATACTGTGAAGCATTGTAGGTAAAATACAGTTCAGTGGGACAAGACTGACCAGCATAAAACTTCTTAATGTGCAAGTAGCATAGCAAGGTACATTGCAAATTAAGATGGTATCAGTCTTCTAGTTTTAAACCTTAAAGTCCTCTAGGTTTAAACACTCAAATTTCAATTTTACTTAAAACGCTATGTCTGCTAGTAGATTTTTGCATAGTACGCATTTTCTAATCAAGGAGTGATTAAAAAAAAATTGATTCTGAGTTTTACATGAAGACAGGGAAGGAGGATGAGGCAATTGCTGAGATAGAAAATGTTTTTTTGTATAAACAAACTTGTAATTTTGATGTTGGAATGAAGTCTACTTTAAATTTTCCTGGAACTTGAAAGGGGGAAGTGAAAAATGAGACATAATTAAGTCTGGCACTACTTTAGTACTGCATAAATCTGTTTGCTGTCTTCATTACGAAGGGAGTTTTTTCAGTTGCTGTCATATGAGGGATGCTCATCAGATAAATAGCTTGTCTTGATCTTATTCACTGAAACGCTTTGGCTCATGTGTCCTTTCTGTTGGATTTCTTTGGCAGACTTGTACAAGCTGACTGCTGAGCTGCTTGGTGAGGGAGCATACGCCAAAGTTCAGGGTGCTGTCAGCCTCCAAACTGGGAAAGAATATGCAGTAAAAGTAAGTATAGAGTGAAAGCAGCATCTCCTCTGTCTGTAACGTGTCTTCTCCCTCCTAGTATCTCTGTGAAAACTGGTAATAGACTGGGCAATAGCAAAAGCTTTTAGAAAATTTTTGATGCTTGAAATGAGTCTGCTGTTTAATGGCTGAGATATCTGTTGTCTTAAGTATTATGCCTCTGGAGTGAACTGGTGTATCGGCAGCAGATAGGATTCACAAACAGTAAATGACTCTGTGATGGTTACATATCAGGACAGGCTTTCCTCTCATGTCCTAATTTGATTGTAGTCCTACCAGTTTTTATGTTGTCTTATGAAGGAAGAGGCTGAGTCATTATGTAGCCTGGCCTACCAAATATACAAGCTTTTGAGAATGCTGCTCAGAGTTCAGAGAGCATCAGTTACTGCCATTAGTTCATGTAAAGCTGTCTCAGCTTTTGTTTTTTTGTTTTTTTGGTTTTTTTTAATAGAGGTCAATGTTCTGTAATA